TTACATGTGCTTCTAAATTCAAAGTTAAAATTATTAAATTGGCTCAAAATTTTAAGTTAAATCCAAAAATGCTCAAAATTTAATTTAATGCAAAAGAGTTCATTTTTTTGGGATTCGGTAGTGTATTCTCATGAATTTTATATACGCTGAATACAAATTCGAAGTTAGAATTATCAGAATGACATAAAATTTTTTAGAACTCAAACCCTGGTTACAGGTACAAGCATGCATGTTTTTGAGCACTTTTAATGAAATCCAAAATTTTGAGCCACTTTGAAAATTCTGACTTTGGAATCACAGTGAAAAAATACATGGGAATACACTAGTGTAGTGTCATAGCAAAAAATTTCCTTTATTCATATTAAATTACATTTTTATCAGTTTTTTGAGAATATCTCAAAATTTTGAGCAAATCAGTCATAAATCTGTCAATTCTGACTTTAAATGCGAGATCCGATATGGAAATACTGTAATGTAGTGTCATAGCAAAAAATTTCCATTTCTTTATTTTAAATCGCTTTTTTATCAGTTCTTTGAGCTTATCTCAAAATTTTGAGCAAATCTGTCAATTCTGACTGCGAATTCGGATTCAGCGGGAAAAAGTACATGGGAATATAGTAGTGTAGTGTCATAAAAAATTTTTTTCATCTTAATTCGGTTTTTTGAGTCTTTTTTTGAGTGGTTTTTTGAGTTTATCTCAAAATTTTGAGCAAATCTGTCTATTTTGACTTCGAATTCGGATTCAGCGTGAAAAAATACATAGGAATATACTTTTGCAGTGTCATAAAAAATTTTTTTCATCTTAATTCGGTTTTTTGAGTCTTTTTTTGAGTGGTTTTTTGAGTTTATCTCAAAATTTTGAGCAAATCTGTCTATTTTGACTTCGAATTCGGATTCAGCGTGAAAAAATACATAGGAATATACTTTTGCAGTGTCACAGAAAAAATTTTTCATTTTTGTCATTTTAATTCGGTTTTTTGAGTCGTTTTTTGAGTTTAGCTCATAATTTTGAGCACATCTGTCAATTCTGACTTCGAATCCGGATTCAGCGGGAAAAAATACATGGAAATATGCTATTGTCATGTCACAAAAAAAATTTTTAATTTTTTTGGTTCAAATTCGTGTTTTGAGTCGTTTTTTGAGTATAACTCAAAAAAAAAGAACCAATTTGAGCATTCGGACTTCAGATTCGGATTCAGCGGCCAAAAATACATGGGAATATACTACTGTAGTGTCTCGGCCACGACACTTTTTTTTTTGTGTGCCTGTGTTATATACATTGTTAATAAGTTTAACTTTACAGCGTTTTCAACGACAAAACATTAAAATGCATTTTTTTTAAGTTTATACATTTTCACTTTTGATGTACCTAGTTGTATGTAAAAGGGGAAATTTTTTAAGATGCAGTATTATATACGCAAATAACTTGTAATTTTACACTGTAAAAATTTGGGAAGCAATGTTTTCGAGTTAAAAATCTACTCCAAAAGTGAGTTAAACAAAAAGAGTTTATTATTAACTAATACCTTGTTAGTTATTTGGGTTGTAGTTACATTTAATGATAGAGTAAAAGAGAACAGCTATATAAATTGTATCAGTTATAATCAGATTGTACGTAGTAACACCTTTGATTGTAGTGAATAACATAACCATATTTTTATAACACCTTTGTTGGTACTCAATAACATAATGATGGTACTCAATAACATAACAATGGTACTCAATAACATAATGATGGTACCGGGTATCATCTACTTTTAACCATAAAAATCTTACCATCCATTTCTCTCAATGTAATAATAATAATTTCCGCGTGTCGTAGTCTGGGTTATATAACTTTTCAAAAATATCAGAAAATGTGCCCTCCTATAAGGTTTTAATCCCTATATAATCTTGCAGCAATACTGCACGGAAAAAAGATTTTACGATGTAGACGAGCACTATAATATTTAATATTAAGGAGGACACAACCAATATTGTGAATTAAGCTTCACAACATTAGAAGAATCTTTATCCGATTCAGCTAAAAGAATTTAGGTTGAGTCAAGTTTGTCAGACATGTTGTATATATTTGGAAACTTATCGATCTTACCAAGAAATATTTCTTAACAACAGCAACAGTTTAATCCCTCTAGGATTAAATTAACACCAGAAAGGATTAAAAAATTTCATTTTGGTGTTATTTTTTTACTATAAATGAAATTTTACTTTAAATTAAACACCAAGTCAACGATTTGTCAAAATTCGACGAATTTAGCTTCAGCAGGGATAATAGTTAGTTAGTAACTGACTTCCTAACTAATTAACAAACTTAATAACTAACGAACTAGCTAACTAACTAACTTACTATCTAAGTAGCGTACTAACTTACTAACTAACTAACTAACTAACTTACTAATTAATTTACTATAGCTAACTTACCAACTAACTTACTAAATAGCTAACTAACTTACAAACTTAATTACTAATTAACTTACTAACTCACTTACTTACTTAACTTAGTTACAAACTAGCTTACAAACTTAAATACTAATAACTTAATAAACTTACTAACTTAGTTACTAACTAACTTATTAAGTTAGTAAGTAACTAAGTTAGTTAGTTAGTACGTTAATTAGAAATTAAGTTTGTAAGTTAGTTAGAAAGTTAGGTAGTATGTTAGTTAGGTAACAATTCAGTAAGTTAGTTAATATTTAAGACTTTAAGTTAAGTAAATAAGTTCACAGAAAAAACAATAATCTAATTTTAAGAAGCGCCTACCTTAATTAAGTGGCCCCACTAAAATTAAGTGGGAATTATTCTTACAATAAGAATATCAATCTTATTGTAAGAATATTCCGTACTTAATTTAAGTGGGGAATAGTCTTGGCTCCTATTTAAGTAGGAGCTTCTTAAAATTAGATTATCGTTTTTTCAGTGTTAGTTATTAACTGAGTTAAGTAAGTAAGTTATTTAGTAAGTTAATTAATAATTAAGTTTGTAAGTTTGTTAGCTAGTTAATTAGTTAGTAAGTTAGTTAGTAAATTAGTTAGTGTGTCCGTTAGTAAGTTAGTCAGTAAGTTAGTTAATAAGGTAGTTAGTAAGTTTGTTAGTTAGTTAGTAAGGGGCCATTTAAGTATTACGTGAGCATTATTTTTAATGTGTTTAAACCCCCTCCCCCTTGTAAGATTTTTTACATGCATTAGCGCAAATTTTTCTAATGAAAGTAAGCAATAGCTAGACCCCGTCCCCCTCAAATTCTTACGTAATACTTGAATGGTCCCTATGTTAGTAAGTTAGTTAGTTAGTTCGTAACTTAGTTAACTAGTTAGTTAGTAAGTTAGTAAGTAAATAAGTGAGTTAGTTAGTTAGTAAGTTAGTTAGTTAGTTAGTAAGTTAGTTAGTTAGTTAGTTAGTTAGTAAGTTAGTTAGTTAGTTAGTAAGTTAGTTAGTAACTAAGTTAGTTAGTTAGTAATCGTTGACTTGGTTTTGATTTAAAGTAAAATTTCAGTCATAGCAAAAAATAAAACCAAAATGGATTATTTAAATCCTTTTTGGTGTTAATTTAATCTGCAACGCTTTTTAATACCTCACAATTTACTGTGTAAATTATAAGTATCAACTTTTGCGTTTTTTCACTTAAAGTATTTAAGTATTTAAGTATTTATTTTTTTTAGTATTTATTATTTTTTATTTATTTTTTAGTATTTATTTTTATTTTATTTTTTATTTTTAGTATTAATTTCAATAATTTACTTCCAATTGGTTGTAATTTGAAAAATATGAATCAGAAGATTCAAAAATGCGCTATTAAGCCTATATTGCTCGTTCACTTTTGACGAAATACTCTAGCTGTTATGGCGAAAAAATTCTCTGTTTCAGTTGTACTATTGTTTCTGTTTGCGATATGCTTATCGTGCAGGCCTCCCATAAAGGCATAAATTGAAAGATGGTTGGAAAGAAGAGGATGAAGAGAAATGATGGTATGGTACAAAATAGGTGTGGGTGTAAAAAAGAAAAGGTATTGGATGAATGTGGAAGAAAAGCTATAATTGAGCCAAAAAAACATAAATTTTTCCTAGCCGAAAAATATTTAAATTGAATTTTGAGTTTCCAGAAGAACTTTGATTTAGGACAAGAAAAATTTACATGCCCTTCTCGATCCAGCGGCTGCATTTGTTTAAAATATTAGTTTAATATTATAGTATAACATTTTCAGTGTATACATTTTTATATTTACAAGTTTTCAACTTTACTTCTAACCAAAATAATTGTTTTTTTCTAATTCTTCTTCAAACATTCATTTTAAATATAAATAGATAACTTTGAGTTTTAATATTCTTTTAAAAAAAATGACACGCAATAAGTAATTTTTACATTATAACACAAAAGGGTTAAGCAGCGTTAAAAATACTTTTATTTTTCATGAAAATTATCAGTTTATTGATAAATAGAACATTTAATACACATATATACATAATTGAATTTTGTAATACTTTAAATATTATCTTTTATTTCATTGTTCAATAATAATTATTCATAAAAAATAACTTATTCATATGTTAAATTTCAGACCTTTGAAAAACTTTTTTTCAAAAACTATCAACAATAAAATTCTTAACGAAATTCTTAAAAGGCAATTTTTTTTTATTGACTCACTTATTGGAACAATTTTTGAGATTTATCATCTTAAAAATTGTCTCTGTATAAAATAACATTTAATGATATAGAATATTAATAAAACTGCGTAGTGATTCGCTTTGAATTATTTGCTTAGAATAAAATAAGACCAGATAAGTTAAATAAATGATTATCACAATGTTTTTCTATTAACTAGTTCGAAAAGAAGCACTTGTTCAAAGAATTATTAAAAGACCTTGTAATAGATGATTTAAATAATAATAATTTTGTGGGAAAACTTTTCGGAGTTTCTAATGAATTTCTTCTCTTTTTTTAATATCTGATAAGATTGTTCGCGTATATACGTGAAATATATAAATCTTGACTAAAGTTTCGTATATACAAAATCGTGTGACACAACATGGAAAGAGCGGGTTGGAAAGAGCCGTAATATGGTATACCTCAAGCGGGAAGACGGGCTTGAAACTCTCGGCCCTCACTATAAGAACCCCTGCCCCGCCTAACAACCTTCCATTCAGTATCAAGGTAGCACTTAGGTACTCTCCCGTCTAGCCGATCTCTATCAGGATAGTAACTTGCAGATACACTTGCAAAATTAAGTTTTTGCGGTGTTTATCTCAAAAAAATTTGTTGTTTAGAAAAACTTTTTTTGAAAAGTATTTCTATTAATTCTCTATTCATTCTATCGTTATCTAGAATTTTTTTTTGATCCATAAAAAACAGCATCTATTTCGATTCACGTTGGATTGTTTTTCTCTTCACTCTTTTCAATCCCCTCTTCTTCATCATCATCTTGTTATCTTTAATCCCCACTTCTACCTCCGTTCTCCATTCAGACACCTTGGTTTCTTCAATCCACCCTGCTTGTTCTCTTCTATCGTTGGTCCTGCCCCTTCTTCTTCTTCTTCTTCTTCTTTCCTCCTCGTTGCAACTTTTTTCCAATCATCCTTCTTTTTTCCTTCCATCAATTCTTTCTTTTTACCTTATTGCCTTGCCTTATTGCTCTCTCAACTTTTTTCATGGGACAGTGTTTCTTGTATGTATTCACACAAACACACAACTGTATGCATGTGCGATTTTCACGAAAAGACACACCGTCAGCAACTTTAGTCAGAAGTCAATTGGATCACTGCCTCTCCGGAAGTACCTCCTCCTTTCGGTGATAATCCGGGTGGATGGTCAATCCTTTGGTTGAGCGGGCGGTAAGAAGAAGAAGAAGAAGGCGAAGACGATACACCGAGGGGAGGGGGGTCGAGGAAAGGCTCAAGAGAGAATATAGCGATAAGTGTGTATGATTGTACGCGAAAAAGACCTCTCAACACGGTGGAATTTCTAACGGTATCCGTGCTTTGCCAAATGCACTTTCGGATCGCGAAGTAACCGCGCAACACGCTCCGAGTGAGTACATAAAGAGTGTCTTAGGTCTTAGGAGTTTCGCACCATACAATCAGGAAGGATCAAGTGCAACGACGACGACGACGACAACGACGACGACCTTCTGCTGGGTATTTCGTGTGACATTGGGAGAGAGAAAAGGACCTTGACCTAGTGTACAAGACGTTATTCGCCGGAGAACTTGGAACACGTCCTTGACCGGAAATCATGACGGACACTGTCTTCTGGCTCCTCTGCTCCTGTTGCACAATTTTATTATTAATCCTTAGACAGACGAATAAATCGAAATCGCGGAAATTCAATGAAAAGAGGAATTTCAGGTTGACTGAGACACAACAGAGGAATGAGAGTGTTAGTAATGATGGTGCGAAAGAAAGAGAAATGGAAGAGGAAGTAAGGAACAAGTCTGATGAGACGATGGTGAAAGTTTTGAAAGGTCCGAGAAGTCTGCCATTTATTGGAAGCTTGCATCTATTGAGAGCACCTGGTGGACCATTTGAGGCATTTACCAATTTAGCAAAATTATATGGGAGCATTTATCAAATACAATTAGGTGTTGCAAAATGCGTTGTTGTCAGCAGCTACGACATGGTCAAGGAAGTCCTGATTACGAAGGGAAGTCACTTTGGCGGTCGTCCAGACTTTATCCGATTCCATAAACTTTTTAACGGAGATCGAAATAACTGCAAGTATTTTTTTATTTCTTTGAATAATAATAATTATTGCTGACTAGAATCTGTTCTGTTTTGATTCCTGTTAAACACGCTATTTATATTACAATAGAAACCCCATTATCCGGACTAATGGTGCAAGTAAACATTTTTTTTTAAATCATGAAATAAAAACGCTATAACATTATAAAATTTACATACAATATACGTATAAATTAGCATTAAAAAGACGATTAATTTAACATTTTGTTATTCATATTTTTATAATTTCTGTCTTAAAATATCAGGTTTCAAAAAGTTAATAAAAGAAAAGAAACCGAAAACTTGTTCGGATAATAGAAAATCAGGATAATGGGATTTCTCCTATATTTGTTAATGATTAAACTTATTTTAATCATTAAATGTGCAATAATTTGAATAATTCATTTAAATCGAGCCTAAAAACCAAAGAAATTAATTTAAAATAGTAAACCTAAAAAATTGTAAGGAGCTTGAAGTAATGGAAACACTCCGGGAAAGGTTTATTTCAAACGAACTGTTTTTTTTACTAATGTTTTATGAATAAAGAAATAATTTGTTTAAATCAGCTATTAGTTAGTTAATTGAATATTTTATTAGACAAGTGATCAAATGTTTCATTCAGTCAATCAAAGTGGGTTAATTTTACATGGTAAATTTGGTTAATACCACAAAATTAGTAATATAGTTTAGTAATAATTAATTAGTAATAATAATTTATTTATTATATCAAATGAACTTTTCCCTGAGTGTTTAATTATCTTTCTAATTAAAATAATCATTGTCCTGATTCAGAACAAATTATAAATATTTTCACTACTCGTTGGAATTATTTAAAATTTATTTTGATATTATTATGCTTAAAATTTATTGAAATATTTTAACAAATAAAATTTATTAAAATTTATTTTCGACTTGAAATATTGTTGATTTTAAAGTTGAAACTATTAGAATAAAAATAATTGTGTGAGAATTTACAAAAAATATCCCATTACTAGTAGAACATTTTAATTAAGTTTAAAAGGACTTTCATGTTTGATCGGAAGTTATAATCACAAAATTTGTCAAGTTTACAAAATGTGATGAAATTTTCATTTATGTAAGAGGATTTGTTTATATTTATTGAGCAAACACGCCTTTGTTTATGCGAAAACTACAGTTTTGATATCATCACAGATTTTTATAAAAGGTACATTTTTTCTGCCGAGTTTACAAATTTTTCATATCCAATTCTCTAAAATATGTTTTTAGTCATAATAATACAATTATAATATTAGGTAGAAATGATACGAAATTCTATGACAATTTTTTCAAACATAATCCTTTTTTAAATTATAGCGAAAATTTGCATATATAAATCTGAGAGAAATTGGGAAAAGAGGTAAAATGAAGGATATTTTAATATTTTATATAATTACACTGACAAAAAGTGTTAGAATTCAATTCTCAACAAAATTCTATAAATTTCGCATACGCTTTTAGAATTAAAGTAAAATGGGTAAAATATTGTGATTTTTCTCGTAAGCATATTCTGTATAGTTGAAGTTGTTCTGAACAAAAAATTAAGTGACAAAACATCTGAAAATGGTTACTTTAGATGGTTAGGCACATTGAGGTACCTAGACGCTCTCCTTCAAAGGAGGCTGTGAAAATTTTTTACATAATATGTAATTTCAAAATAATTTATAAATTCTAAAATTTTATAGAAACTTTTAATTTTTCCATTTTTAAATTGATTTTTTAAAATTATAAATTGAATGATTTGCTGTAAAACAATTTTATATTACTATATTCTTTTATGGTGCGAGAAAATCATCAAATAAGTAAAATTTATGCAGAGTGAAGCTTATGACAAATGACTTATAATACATAATTGTATAAGTTTTACATAAGTAAGTTTTACTTGAAACAAGATTTATGCCAAATAAGGTTATGTCCTTATGTCATTTAATTTTTCCAAGAGGTAAATTGTATGTCAAATATAATTTTTATGTCAAATGCGAATTATAATTATAAATAACGAAATTATATAGTCGGAAGAGTAAACCTCCATCGAAGCCGCGCCGTACCACCTGCTGTGTTTTGGTCCAAGTTGCGTCGAGGCTAGACGGAATACGCCGTTGAAAACAACATTTATGTTCAATAACTTTATGTCAAATGAAATTTATGTCATAATAGAATTGGTGAATATTCATGCTTCTAATTACTTCTGAGAACCGTAAAATATCAAAAAAAAAAAAAAAAAATCAAAAACTTTATTAAGATAGATATACTATAATCTATTATTTGACGCAGCTGTTTTTGAAAATATTGATGATTTTTAACAAAATGGTTGATGTTTGAATATAAAATAACGATTTTTTATAAAAAAATAGAATCTTATTTTTCCTGTGAAAAAAATAGTGAATAGAAAATAGTTCTATTTCAAAAATATTCGACCATTATTATTTATTCGGTTCAGTGGTTTTCGAAAAGTTTTCGGCACCGACTTGAAAAATATAGTTTTGGAATTTTTGAAAAATGCATTTGAAATTTTAAGAGAATATTATGAAATTTTACAACATACGTAGAATTATCAATATCAGAACCATAATATAGGTGTCTGAGGAAGAAGAAATATTAACGTCGTCAAAATATTGTTTCCAATGGAGATATTCGTCTAGCTTCTACGCAGCTCTGCCCGAAACACAGCGGGCGGTATGGCATTCTTTCGGCGTACGGTTTACTCTTCCGGCAATAACTTCGTCATTTTTATTAAGATAACGAATTGAAATTTTCGCCAGACATTTTTAAAAAGTCAATCTTTAAGGAAATGCCAAAATTGCAAAATTATTATTTCTTACCATAATAGGTGTATCTATACCTATCTCTCTTTAAAATCAAGTACAAAAAAATTAAATTTCGTAACGAGAATTTAGTTATTAAACTTGAAAACTCTTGACATTCATTATTTTAGAAGTTATTCAAAGTTTCGTAAAACATTAAAATGTTTTTCATTCACCTGAAAATAGGTGATCTCTCAATTTTGACTGGTAGTGTATATTATGTTGTTTTAGAAGAAATTATTTTGTATAAAACTAAAATTTATAAAATAGTGTACACATTTGTTATAAATAAATAATAATTTATAAACAAACGTCGATATAGAACATATTCTTGTCTGATCATAAAGGTTAATCAACGTTATGGATGGGTAGTTGTCTGGTAGTCTATATCAGTTTATTAAAATATCGTATAGTGAGTTTAGCAATTCGTGATGTTAAGTAAGATAGATTGTTTTTCACAGTTTTATTTCTTATCTTCGAATTTTGATCACCTATTGTTTTTAAATATTTTCAGACAATTTTAAGTTGATGACACTCTATCGATATTTATTCAGCTTTACATATTTTTTCATTGACATTTGTATTCTCTATTATATTCTGTATACCTTGGAATGATAATTTTTCTCGATTTTTCTCATTCTATTTTACGAGTCTATAACTAGAAATGATCTGATTTTGTTGCAATGAAGAACCATGCAACCAGTGCATGCCTACCTCCAGACACTTTCTCGGTACTGAGAGTTTTGTTATCTTTTTAAAATGCGTAGTACAGGATACCTAAAACAGGTTAAGAGCAACCAATCTTCGATAGTTCTAATTTATCTTCATGCAACTGAAAATCTTCCGGCAAAAACCGGTCAGCCGCAGGTCTAGTTGGCTGCTGGATACTAGGGCAAGCACACACTATATCAGGGAGCAAACTAATAAAAAACAGTTGATCGGCATAGTGGTAACAAGGTCTTTATTTATTTCACTTATATAGCTGTTATTTTCGAATTAAAATAATCTTAACTTTTGCAAATTTATTAGAATTACGAGTATCGTACAATTAATTTCAATAATTCGTTTTTTATGCATCATTTAGAATTTAATTTTCAGTCAGTTTGAAATTTATCGAGTAGCATTAGAATAAAAACAAAAAACATCTAAAAAAATAAACATTTTCGTTTCCTGGTAAAATTAGAATATTTGAGTGTATCGATTTTATTTCGCCTAATATGTATTTTCAAACTTTTTAAAAACCTTTATTACTTTGGTAGAATATTTTTGCATGTTTTGAAATGACAAAATCCACGGGCCTAGGATATTATTACTTTTTCGACTTTTTTCAACTATTTTCAAAAAACTCAACCTTTTTCCACTTATTTTTTAAAAACTGCGACTTTTTCGACATTTCCTCCAAGTTTTGTCTCAAAAACCACATTTTTGGTATAAAATGCAATTTATTTCGATTTTTATAGTGTAAAAAGTATAACCTATATAGACAAATCTTTCAAAAACTATTTTTGAATGATTTTTCTAATTAAATTTTTGAAACAAAACAATTAAAAAATTTTTCAATAATTGAAATTTTGTGAATAATTTAACTGAAAATAATTGATTTTTTTAAAGTATTTTATTACAATTTTTGAAAATTTAACAAAAAATTAGTTTCTTTTAAATTGTATGAAAATTCTTTAAAGAAATTCAATTATTTTTTTAAAATTACGTTGCAACATTTTTAAAAAACTGAGTTTTATAGTTTATAATATTGTTTCATTAGGTTTTGTTCGAAGATAATTATTTTCGAACAAAATAAATTAAAATTTTTGTAAATTTACTTTTTTAGACTTATTAAAATTTTGGAGAAATCATGTTCATTTATAAAATTAAAATTCTTCATAAAGATTTGATTATTTCTTTTTATATTTTTCAAAAATTCAATTATTGTTGAAAGATTTTACCAAATGCCAATTATTTGAAAATTTTTCAATTGTATAAATTAAATACCTATAAACTTTCAAAAAATATTTTGAAAATTAATTTTAAGAATTTCTTTATTATAATTTTTAAAAATTAGTTACTTTCAACATTTTTGGTTAAATATTTTCAGTAATTTATCTTTATGATTTTCATAAAAAAGAACCATGAACAGTTATAGTTACAATTCTTATGGAAAATTGAATTTTTGGATTTAAATAATTGGAAGAAAAATTAAAAATAATTTATTTGAAAATTAAGTTTAGTTAAAAATTATAGAAAATAATTTAATTTTGGAAGGGTTATAATTGTAATTTTAAGAAATTATTCAATTTTAGAAGGTTTTAATTTGAAATTTTTCTGATTTTATTTCCTATGGAAAAACAAATAATAATAATTTAATTATTTATTTAATAAAATTATTCAAGTTTTGAAAAATTGAATTTAGAAATCAGTGAAAGGGGAAAATCAGGAGAATACAAAATAAAATTCTTGTGAAATTACTGTATATGAATTAAATAAACGACTTTTTCGACTTTTTTTGTATTTTTAATCGACTAAAGTTACTTTTTTTGCTCCTGAAAGTCGATCCGAGGTCTAAATGCACGATGATTTAAAAAAAATTACATTACAAATTTTAAAAAAATTATTTAATCAAGAGGTCTTGGAAAAATAATACATTAGACAGGCATCGAAAAATATTTTTAAAAAGCTGTAATTACTTACCTAAAAATATAAAAAACAGATTGAAATTTATTTTTAAAGCCTTAATTGATTATGTAATTAAAGTGTAAAAATATTTTAATTTTTACATGTACAGAAACTTAAATAACATATTTTACTACTATTTTTATCATTTTATTTTGTATTATTGAATATTTTAATTAAGTGCTAATAAGTATTAATCGCACTCATTATATTTTTAGAAGTAAGCTGTTTTAAAATATTTTTTATTATCTGTTAATGTATTCTCTTAAGTATTAAAGTTTTTTATCAAAAGATCAAAAATACATTCGGCGAAATAAAGCATTTTGACCCATTTGTTACGTTATTTTAAAGGAAGTTTAGCATTATTTCCTTGTTTTATCCCATTTATTCATTAAAAAAAAGTTAATTTCGCTTAAACTGCAGTTATTGAGACGCGCAAGCTAAATAGGTGAGTATCTCAATAACTGGAGTTCCAGTGTGGTTTGAAATAACGGTTCACTTATTATAAGTACATATATGCGCTAATTGATTGAGAGAGCGATTTATAAATTAAGAGAAATGAAATTTCACTTATTTACAGGATAGAAAAAACTCAGATTCAATTTTGCCTGTTTATCAATATGAGTATCGTATATAGGGGGATCATTTTGAGCTCTAATTTTTTCATGATTTTGAGAGTATAGTTTGAACCTTATTAGAAAAATAGATTATTTGTTAATTGTAGTTTATATTTCATTTAAAAGAACAGTTAAATTAAAAAGAAAGAACAGGAGGATCATATTCGTTAAAATTTTACGAATCGACATTATGAAGAATGTAGTTTTATATTACGGAAGCAGTTCCGTAATATGCGGATTTGTTTACACGCTACCGTCTTACTCTCACGTATACCTGCGATATCTATATTAGACATAATAGTCTTGCTACATGATATCTAGTCGTCTGGAGAACTTTCGCGAAGAATCCAGTGAAAACAGTATATACAACTAATAGGGGATGAGTATTCATATTATAAAAAATAATTTGTTATCTATCTCGTAAAATTTTTTAATTCTTTTCTATATTACAAACAATTTGTATGTTAAAATAAGTTTTAAGTAAAATTAATATAAAATATTCAATAGTTGATAGTAAAGAACTTTCATAAAGTCTAGAATTTAACGTCAATATGTTGAGAAGATTGATGATCCTCATTTTTATGTAAAGTGTTTTTTCCGCTTTCATTGCAGTTAAGTTTTTATGTAATGAATCAATCTTCTTGTCTTTTTGAATACTTTGTCTTTTTTATGATCAACTGTAAATTGAAAGTCGATAATTTTCAAATAAAGCCTAAAAATTCTTTCTATTTTTACTTTTAACATTTTACTCATTCTTTTACATTGAGATATAAACAATTATTATCTCTAAATCAAATAAAATTTCTGTTGCATCTTTATAATTGATCGGAGAAATGAACATATTTGTTGATACTTGTTCCGCTTCTTTCCGAATTGACAAATATTTATCATTTTTATAATTTTAATTTTATTTAATGAGTGAAATAATTTGGATGTGTTTGTTTTTAGTTTATATTTTGGAATTAATCATTTGTTTCCTTTATTTCTTAATGCATATATTCTTTTTTTTACCTGTTTTTCTTATTTGCCGGTTTCTCAATCAGTCTTTGGTTTCCTCTTGTAATTAAAAAATTTAAATTTTTTGATGAGAAAAGTAAAGATATATTATATTTTTATTTATATATATTGTTTTGGAAAAAGTGAGGGTACTGTGGCGCGATTGGTTATCAATAAATACAAACTCGTAATACTAGGAACAGGAAGCGTAACCTGGAGAGTGACTTGACAGTCGAATTAACAACTTATCCGAATGCTCCGATGTATCTCTTCTTGTGCAAGTTAAACTCGATCTCGATAACGATGTCGATGGACGAGCATCGCAAGACTTTTATTTTCCGTTCATTCTCGATGTGCGCGTATGCGTAAGAGAGTGTGAAGGAAAGGATGGAGAACTCCTGGAGAATTTTGTTTTTCTTGTATAGGTATCGACTACCGAGAAAGTAAATTCAACAGACTTTGGGCCCAGGTGGTAGGAAATTTTGTCGACTCCAAGAAGTTCAAGGTCAAGGTTACTCTGACTCTTAAACAACCTTTTTTTCTCCTTTTTTCTTTCTTCACTTTATATAATTATTATCTTTTTAATATTTCTATTTATTTCAAATTTATTTTTAAAACTTTAATGCAAGTATTAGATAAAAAATTACTAATAATGGTTTTAAAAAATATATTCGAATTTCTAAACTGCCTTTCTTCTAATTACACTTGAAAGTATCTTCAAAATATTTCAAAAATTAGATTAAAATATTTTTTAACAAAGTTTAATTAACCTTTAAAAAACGGGGTGGACACATTTTAAAGACTATTTTTATGGTATTTTTCTCATCGACCAAGGGTTTAAAAAATTCAGGAGAACTATACCTTACGTCTTGGATATCACTCTTTCAGAATCTGCACTCAAAATTAAAAAAAATCAAAACTAAAAAGTTGAAGACATTTTTTTGGAAGAACGTTTTTTTTTGAAAGTTTTTTCGAAAATGTATTTTTTTAAGGTATTGAGTTAGAAGAAGTTCGTAAAACTATGAAATATCGCGTCCAAAATGTTCAAGCTTTCAGATGGTAAAGCGTATTTGCTTAAAATTCAAGATGGCTGATACAAAATGTCGACCAAAAGTCAATTTTTGTATAATATAACAACCTCTTGTATGAAATTCGTAAACAATGCTCAAATTCAGTTGAAATTATTTACTCAGAGGATTTTGGGGTCGCTGATTCCGAATCTGAACTTAGTTTTTAAAAATTCAAAATGGCGGTTTCAATATGGAGGAATTTTTTTCTAAATTTATCGGAATCGATTAATATTTCTTACTCGGGAGTTTTCCGGGTCGAAGATTACGAATTTGAACTTAGTTTTTTAAAATTCAAAATGGCGGATCCAATGTGGCGGAACATTTTTCAACAATTTATCGGATTTCATTTAAATTTATAGTTCCATGTTTGTCCGCAAGGCGTCAAAAATTCGATTCTCTCACTAACAAAACGCATTGCGGAGTATCTAAGATCAGACTATTTTTGAGATAGAACAATTAAAATATTTCCCAAAAAAGTTTAAGAAACTAAAAAAGGTAATTCAGGAATATGTATTTTTGTCCTGCCTGCACGGAAAATGTGTTATTTCGTGCACATGAAAGGGGCGCAAAGTAAGTGATTCCCGCCCAGAGGTAAGGTGAGCGGGCGCAAAATACATTCGCGCCCGCTGACGTCATAGGAGCGGGCGCAAAGTACATTCCCGCCCGCTGACGTCATAAGAGCGGGCGCAAAATACATTCCCGCCCGCTGCCGTTATATAGATGCGGGCGCAAAATATTTCTTTGCTCATTTGTGCATCCAGTGACCTTAACTTTTAGAAAATGACATCACAAGTCATTTTTAGCCATATGGAACAAACAAACAATTCATCCAAATGTGTGTGCACTTAATAACACACTTTCCATGCAGCAGGACAAAAAATGTTGTTCGCAGCACGGGCGCAAAAGGTGATAGTGTCTCAGGCGAGATTATGGGACAACCTCGGCGACCCTACGCATCCTCGGCTTCGCCTCGGTGCTTCAGGTCCCCTCGGTTTCCCTAATCTCGCCTTCGCCAAAATCACCTATTTTGCGCCCTTAATACGAAAATAACTATTATTGAATATTAACATGTTCGCAGTTATAATTGGATAATAAGATGTTTTTTATTTGAAAAAAGTTTTATTTCCACTATTAAAAAAATGTTTTTGTGCGTTTAAAAGGCTCAAGTTTGTGTTTGCAGAAAAAGTTAACTGAAAAGTTTATTCATGAAAGTCCTCTTTTGCAAAAATATTAAAAAATATCTCAGAAACATAACTCAGTTTTTTATAGCAAATTTTTTTTTAATTTCAGCGCTCGCTTTATGTGATTGGTCAGATCTTCAGCGGAAGCGCAGGTCACTGGCGAGGAGTTTCTGCTCACCACGAGGTGGAAGTTTCCAGTTAGAAGAATTGACACGAGTGGCGTATACAGAAAGTTTTGAATTTCTCAAGATTCTTAAGCAAGAAGAATATTTTCCAAATCTCAATGGACAACAACCAATAAAACCATTGATGCTTGCCGCAGCTGCCAATATGTTTACTGGTTACATGTGCTCGACTCGCTTTGGTTACAATTGTGATAGATTCAATAAAGTTATCAGTAATTTTGATAAAATATTTTGGGACATTAATCAAGGATATGCGGTTGATTTTATGCCATGGCTTTCACCATTTTATTCACACGTATTTAAACGCCTACATCTTTGGACTTCGGAAATAAGAGATTTTATATTAGATAAAATTGTTAATCCTCGGCGAGGAAAGTATGATGAAAATATTGGTCAACTTGATTTTACTGACAATCTTTTGATACAATTGGAGAGTCCTGATTCTGAATTATCTTGGGAACATATTATTTTTGAACTAGAAGATTTTATTGGTGGTCATTCTGCGATTGGCAATTTGGCAATGATCATCTTTGCATATGCAGTCATTTATCCTGAAGTGCAGAAAAAGATTCAAGACGAGTGTGATGAGGTTTTATCGAAATCAGGAAGAAGTTTAATTTCTCTAGACGATAAAAAGGACATGCCCTATACAGAAGCTGTAATGTGGGAAACGTTGAGAGCAAATAGTTCTCCAATTGTACCGCATGTTGCTACACAAGATACTGAAGTTGGCGGATATGTTGTCAAGAAAGATACTGTTGTTTTTATCAACAATTATCAACTTAATTTGGGAGAGGAATACTGGGGACCTGATTCAAAAGTTTTTCGACCAGAACGCTTTTTGAAATCGATTGTTGATAAAGTTGATGGTCAACGGAAAAATATTGTTGTTAAACCGAATTTTTTCTTTCCGTTTTCTACTGGGAAGAGAACTTGCATTGGTCAAAAATTGGTTCAGGGATTGACTTTTGTTTTGGTCTCGACAATTCTTTCAAATTATGACGTCTTTGCCGTCGACGATGTAATGAGTCGATTACAACCTGGACTCGTGGCCCTTCCGCCAGAAACGTTTCATTTAAAGCTAAAACCACGGAAGTAGTTTTAATAATGTTACTCATGAACTTTACTTTATCCAATTATCAAAAATAGCGTATAATTAATTTGATGTATTTGGTATTAACATTTTTCAGAGCGACGTAATCAACACCAAAAATTGCATGTATTAGCTAATTTGTGAAAATGATTTTAATTATCGCTTGTCCTTAAATCATGTTAAGAAACATTAAACTTTCTGTTTTAGTTGTAATAGCATTTTTTTAAAACATTTTTTATAGTCTTTTTTAATGCAAGCCTAGTTTTTTAAATTTTCGTTTGGAAAAACATATTTATTTTTTTGTAGAATAAATTACTTCGAAAAAGACTCATTTTATAAGAATTTTCTACATGGTGCTTTCATTTATTTAATTTTAAGAGATACTGAATGGTATATTATGTATGATATTCAATAGAATATTAATTGCGATGTCTAAATATTAAGATTTTTAAATGATATTACATTTTGATAAAAATGATGTGCAATAATTTGCTATTAGTTTGAAAAATTTTTGTTCTTAATTTCTCGTATATTGCAGTTTTCCGTAATAAAATTACGATTCTTTTGATGAATTTGATATAATAAAACTATGGTATTACTATTTTTTAATTAAATTAAATTAAATTTTCCGAGTTAATAGCAATAGTTGTCGTTTAGTTTTAAAAACTTGTATACTGATTTCATTATTTCAGATATTTTATTACGAAATAATCTTCTCAATAAGACTGAGTAATATTGTTAACTATAATTGTTCTATTTATCTTTTACTATAAATACAAAACAAGTATTTCCTGTAAGATTGCCTTATTAAATTTCATATTTTACATTAGATTTTTTTCATTTTCCCAATACTTTTAATTTTCCACTTTTGTACAAAAGAATTATTATTGTTTTTACAGTTAATTGAGTGCAGGAAAGTAAAATATATTTATTAAAAAACATGGAACATTTTAAATACAGCACAAAGGTAATGCATGATTTTAGTAGATAATTGACTTAAATTGAGCATCTGAAAAGAGCTAAAAAGCAGAATTAAGAATCTTTTCTGAATCTAAATAAACACTTTTAAAAATGTTGTAACATAAAATAAGACTAGTTTTCCTTAAAGTAAGAGATATTTTTGAAAGTGTATAAATTATTATATAACCAATTAATATAAAATAATTTAGTTTACTTCTTAAAATTAGATTTAATATAATTTTTCAGAATACTAATAATATAATAACAATGCAGAAAAGTATTTATTTAAAATAGAAAAGTTTTAATTAGAATAACTTCCAAAAAGGTGTAAACCAAAATTATGTTTCACTTAATTAAAAGTTTAGTTAGTAGAATAATATTTTATCTTTAAATGAATAATAATTCATTACACTGATTTCAACACTTGTTTAAATTCAATAAATAGTTATTTAATATATAACTATAGCAATATTTTTGTAGGTAACAATTGTACAATTGTATTAATTTGTTAAAGAAAAAATAAAAAAGTTTGTGTATTTAAAAACATTTTTTTAAATGTATTGAAAGAGGAATATCTTAGAGAACCTTAGACGGTTTTTAAGAAAAGTTTAAAAAAGGACATCTTTCTTAGATGAAGGAGAAGATCGCGAAGATGATCACCTTGGCTGGCATCGGGCGAAGAAGTCGTTCGACATTGGCAGTAGAAGTTCTTCTTTTCGTTCGTCTGCCTCATCCATCTGGGACGACGTTTTTACATTCGAGGCCCTTTGTCGTTTATATCTCACCTTTTTCATGGCACAGGCAATCTCTATACCACCATTCCTTGCTGCCCTTGAATTTCAAGCAATTTTAAGCGCGAGTTATTCGATTTCATCTTATTACCCGCATCCCACACTCTGTTAATTCGCCTCCGTCTGTTACATGTATTTCTTCTTTTCCTGCTCTTTTATTTCTTCTCCACTTCGTTTACTCACTATCCTTATTCCGTGCAAAGATATGTAACTCGGATCCCTGGCCCACTTTTGAATACCGTTTTCAATGTTGTAAACATTTAACCCTTTTTAAAGAACACGAACAATATTTTATTTTCAATTGTAGGGGTGTTATTGAAATAAATATATGTTTTTACTTCAATTTTATTCAACACGTAACATGCAATATTTATTCTACATGTGTATTCATTATTAATTTATAGATATTTTGTAGTTTTTGCGAATTTGTTGATAGGATTTTGTAAAAAAATCCTTTCTTTTACAAAGCGAAGATTATAAAGTGTATAACTATAGTTGTCTGAGATTTAATTTTTTAAATTATTCATTTATATTTTATTTATTCAAATTAATTAAATAAAATAATTAATATTATTTAATTATTAAACCATTATCTACTTAGTCTATTTAATGAAACATATCTTTTCAGTAATGTAAGTAAACATGTTTTTGCATAAAATATTTCTCCTATCAACTGAATATTTATTAAAATATATCCTGAAAAAAGGAATTATTATTCACTGTAAAATTGTTTAAATTCAAGATATATGTATTTAGGTCGAAGACTTTCATCTAATGTATTTCATTATTCGGCTGTTACGATCGTTTTAATAAGTAATTGGAGCATTTTGTACAAATCAGAAATTATTTCCTACCGTAAATGTAAAAGGATGCGATGACTCTCCAGTATTGGTATTTTCTAACTGCAATTTTGCTTTCAATTACTCATGCATTATTTTTTGATTTTCAAATTATTTCTAAGTACTTTACATAAACAAGACTACTTTATCCAGACAAGTTAAGAAGCAAGGACTGGATTATAAACCAGTCTTAGATTCTTACTAGGCTTAGGATAAAAAAACAGCAATCGGATAGGAAACTTGTCTTAGATGCTGCAGTACCAAAAAAAAAACATTTTAAACATTCGCTTCCCAGGCATTCTATCTCATCTAGTCAGTTTTACTTTTTTACTTTTTTTGAAAAACTTCATCGTGATAAAAATTCTATTAATAAATCCGAGTTGTGGTTTGTAGAAAATACTTTCATTGCATTATAACATGTATAGAATTTTAAATTATGAGAGAAGTTTCATATTCTATAAATTCTTAGATAATAATTTTTTATTCTGCTATTGAATTTACAAACAATTAAATTTTTGAGGCAATAGCTATAATAATTTTATCACTAAATGTTAGTAGTAGTAGTAGACATTATTAAAATATTAGAGATATACCCAGGTGAGATGAACCAAAGATGATGGTGAGATTAAGCTTGATTCTAGCTTTAACGTCCAGCCTGGGTAACCTAGACAGAAAGCAACCTTTATATTTAAATGTTAAGCTAATATGGGTTGAGTTTTGGATACCAATGCTCATTCCAAGCTCGATTCAAGACTCATTTAATCTTCATGAGTAAAACTTAAATATTCAATCTCAATTCAAGCCTAAATCAACACTGTAAGAAGTAGAAAGTAACAATTTAGTACTTATTTTGGGATCATTAGGTTCAATTTTATTACCTGAAAGAAACTCTAATTTAACACTTATTCCTTTTACAGTAAATCTTGACACGATATTCAGTTTGTCATTTCCGTGTGTACTTAATTAAATAATATTTAAACTATTTAAAATAGTATTTAATATTGTGAATTTTTTAGTAATATTTTTAATGGTTATTATTTAGTTATTAAATATAATTAAAATTACATTATTCATTTTTAAATTGATAAATAAATATTAATTACGAATGAAGAATTCGACTTTATCAGCAATTAGTGACATCTACTAGTTGTCATTTAAACTCTTTGGTTTAGAGTTTGGCGTTCATATGATAATTATATGAATCAAGTTATCGATAAATAATTATCAACTTAAATTAATTTTGCTTTAAAAAAATAATTTGCATATTAGAATGCACTGTGCAAAGTCAAATTCATCATTCGTAATTATAAAAGTCTTAATTCAGCAAAAATAGTATACTACATCTATATATGAATTCCAACATTAAATTAATTTTATCCTAACACAAATGCATATTACAGTATATCCTATCAATATCCTAGTAGTATCTGGAAATTAGGATATATCTAGGATGTCCTCAAAATATCCCAGGACATCTCTGGGATATTCTACGCATATTACAATCCACGAATATCCTTAGGAAGTTTGTAGGATATCCTGTATATCCGAATGTTGTTTGGGTAATGTTTATTTATTAAGTATAGTCAATTTTTAATTTTAAAAGACTTATAAAAAGTAAATTTAAATTTGGGAAAATGTTTTGTTTTTTATAAAAATTTTCAAAATACTCATAGTGATTATTTTTATTTATAATAGTAACTTAACCCTCGGAGAACACATGGGATCATTTTGACCCCACGATTTTTTGCGAAAAGCTTTTTATCTATTGTTTAATATTTTTTATAAGGATTTTAAAGTACACAGACTTATTTTACAGAGTTTAAACTATATTTTCAAAAAATCCTTAGGTTAAGCAGATGAACAGTTCAAAATTGGTTAAGCATTGAAAAATGACTTAAAAAAGAGGTGTGTTCTCCGAAGGTTAATTAATAAATTATTAATTAAATAATTGATTTAATTATTTATATTAATTTTTAATCAAAATATTTATTTCTTAATTATTTGTGATACTTAATATAACTGAATAGTTTTTGAATTATTATTAACTAGATACCCAGTAAAACAAATTTGGGTCAACTTTTGGATCCGGAGAAGTAAGAACGTTTTGTATCGTATTTTCTTACGCTCAATTCGAATCTGTCGTTAGATTTTCTCTAACACATCAAATTTCTGTCTGTCTGTCTGCCCTGGTAAAAATTTCGGACTAATTCCAAATTAAATACAGATAGATTAGTACGCATCAGTCCGAAAATTGTACCCTCACAGCACCGGGATATTCAAGATATCCCAGAGACGTCCTGGGGATATCGATTTGTTTTCGGAAGTTTGGATATCTCTGGGATATCCTAGGGACGTCCATGGATATCCAGAGGATATTCCAGGGATATCCAAACTTCCGAAAACAAATCGATATCCCCAGGACGTCTCTGGAATATCCTGAATATCCCGATGCTGTGAGGGTATGAAAAAGGTCCGAAAATGATCCGCGTTAGTCCGAAATCGGTATTAAAATACACAATCTGAACTTTATCCAGTTAAAAACAATTTGTATTAAATTCATATAAATTCAAACTATAATTATAATTTCGTATTGCAAAAACCTGACCATAACAAGATTAATTCCGGACTAGCATCTAGGTGTTATCAAATTCTATTATTTAGTAACATAAATTGTGAAAATTTAGGAGTTGATTTGTAATTTAGGGGTTGTTTTTAAAAAGCTATAGATTTACCTTTTTTATATATTTTAAACAAACAAAAGTTTGGAACTTTTTTCAGTAATTACTGCTATTAATACTTTTAAGGGTTGTTTTTTGAAATAAGGGTAGTTTTAGAAGAAAGAA